GAGGAGAATTTGGATTCCACAGCCATTATTGATTCCCACTATTCTACATAGCTTCCCTAAGCTTGGAAAAACAGACACATTATTTTATAGCTGAGAAATAATCAACACAGATGAAAAAAAAGGTCTCTCTGTGAGATTGAAGTTGGATAAAACAAAAACAACAAACAAAATATAAAGCAAACAAAATCAAAACCTAGAAATTCATATTAAGGTAATTTATTGATTGTTAATTGAAAAGACTAATACAGCCCAACATTAATAATATATCCACAATAGGTGGAAAATAAGTGCTGAACTGTGGAACTGAGCATAATGTTTTAGAACAAAGGTGTCAGACATATAGCCCTCTTACCACAGTGAGCTAGGGAGTTGGGCCAAAACAGATTATTATGAAATTGGGAAATGTTTGATGAAATAAATGAACAAATAAATAACATTCGCCTTAATATGTGGAGAGTGGAGGTTGAGTCCATACACGACTGCAGATCTCCATTTCTATTTTAATTTGATACCACTGTTTTAGAGAACAAATCTGCTGTTGTGCAGGACATAAATCAATATGAAGAAGAATGCTTATAATTTTGGGGAAATATTTAAGGCTTTATGTAAATTAAATGCTAACTGCCTCCTTTTCAATCCTATGAAATCAGATATAACTGATTTGGAAGCAACACCATCTCCATTTCCTCTTCCTCCTCCACCACCACCACCACCATCACCATCCAATTAAAAACAGTAACAACAGCATCAACAATAACAACACCTGAACTGAACTGAACTGAAGGCCCATCCTTTGTGGTACCTAATCAACGGCAAGGGTTTGTGATTTTAAAAAAAGAATTCCATTCTGATCTAAATTAGTTCAATTATATCAATTCAGAAAAGAGATTACAAAAAAAAAGAGAACACATGGTATTATACCCCTCTTCTCATGTGTCTACTAGCTAAATTGATAGCCTCACCAGCAGAGAAATTTTCCCTTCAAGATCCTTCGCACTAATAAAGAGAATCATGAGCAAAGCAGGAATCTTCTGGAAGCTGCTCAAATCAGTAAATGAAATATTTAATGATAACAATAATAATACCTACATTTTTATTGGTCTAAGAGTAATGAAAGGAATCAGAACAAAAACTAGCTAGCAAAGATTGAATGAGAATAAACACCATTAAATAAATGCTATAAGGGAAATTGTAGGGGTTAGATTTGTATTATTCATTCCTGAGATAAGTGCCAAGAAGAAGCGTCTGTACTACAACAACTAAACAAAACAAACACAAGTAAACAAACAAACAAACAAAGGCTCATGTTTTCATGCTTTGAATTTGGTGAAAATAAGTTCTGTCCTTATGCAACATTCAATTCAAAACAACTTCAGTACAGCTAACATTCATTAAGCTGTCTGCCAGCAGTCAGATAACATTAATCTGCCTGTGGAGTGCAGATCACTATGCTGAGTGCTAGAGGAGATACACAGTTTTAAACAGGATTTAAGTAAGTCCTGAACCTCATAGATTTGAAAGATCAGTAGAGGGATGTGATACAGGTACCTAGTATATAGCATTACACATGGTTAGTGTCTTTGAGAGGGCTAAGTAAAGTGTTACGTGAAGTTGAAGGGAGGAATAAGACATTACAGAATAGGAGAGAATCAGAGAAAGCTACAAGGCAGCCTTTAATTTGATCTTTGTTAAGACAGGAATAGAAAAGTCAAAGAGGATGGTAGGCCTTTTAAGTAACCTATGAGAATGCAGAATTTGTTCCCTTTTTTCAGTTGTTGAATTATAGGATCATACATGGAGCTCAAACCCTCGTTTTAGGATAAAGAAATAGAGGCCTATAGGGGTTAAAGATCTTGTCCAAGATCACACAAGTAGTAACTGACAAAGACAGAATTTGAAACACCATCTTAACTTAGTCCCAGCTCTTTCCACTGTACCCGTTATAAATCACAAAATTGTGAATTTTTACAGTCAGAAAAATCATAAAAGGTCATTCTGTCAACCACCTAACTGGCTGAGAATGCCTTACATGACATCTCCTACAGCATTCTCCTGGCACAAAGTTAAATTCTTAGTAAATACAAGTAGACTGACTGACTGAAGACCTTCACCAGCAAAAACTTCATGCCTCCCAAAACAGCTTGCACCTTCGTTAGAGCTCTGTCGGGCAATTCCTGTCTGGCCTTATGGAGCTGAAATCTGCCTGCTTACAACTCTGCTCATTCTTCCCAGAGCAATGATTATGTGTAGAAAACTACATATAAAATATGACAGCAGTTGTAGGCTAACATTCCCTCTTATTACTTACTCTCTCTTAACTATGCCAGCCTCATCTCTGTAGTGTCTATATATAATGGAATGTAATATGGTAGGGTGGGTAGGGCACTGGTTTACTAAGGGTAGAAATGATGAACAAAAGCATAAGTAATTCATGCATTTTTTACTCAGCACTTAATATATGCCAAGAATACCTCAGTTCAAATCTTGCCTCAGACACTTGCTAACTGTGTGACCTTCGGCAAATCATATAATCATTTTGTGCTTCAGTAGCCTCACCTGTAAAAGGAGAGGGTTGGCCTTGATGGACCACTATGGTCCCTTCCAACTCTACATCTGTGATGCTATAAACCTACTCTTCCCTTCTCTTCCATTGTGCCCTCTCAAATACCAGTTCCATTGAACCAATTTCCATTCATATTAGACTTAAAACACATAGAAAAGCAGCTTGCCATACGGATAGAGAGCCAATCTCAAAGTCAAGTAAACTGAGGTTCAAAGCCTGCCTCTGACACATAATGGCTATGTGATCTAGGGCAAATCATTTATCTTCAGTTCTGTAGAATATTTTCTAAGCCTCTAAGTTGCTAAGAAAGTACCAATCTGTGTTGATAGATTGAAATTTAGTTTCATCTTTCAATGAAATCACAGGCTGAATTCCTGCTTCTCTTGACATATGCTTATATATGTAAGCCACTTTATAGATAGATAGATAGACAGATAGATAGATAGATAGATAGAGATATATAGACATACATGTGTATGTCTATATGTCTCTCTATGTATATATACATATAGATATATATAGATATATATACCTATGTTTCTCTAAGTGTATACACAAAAATACATGTGCGTCTCTGTATATGTGTCCATTAGTTTTACTAGCCAAGCATGTTTTTTCCCTTTGAACAGAATGTGAATATTGAGCTTAAGGGTGGAGAGAATGAGCTTAGCTACCTAAGAGGTTTAGACCTTAGGCAAAGAATATCTTGTTGTCTCAATCAAAGAGCAATAGTAGGGGAGCTGTGCAAAAAGGGAGGTTGTAGCTGCTTCCATACCAGTAAGATAGCACCTCTCTCTCTGCCAATCTGAGGATGCCTGCAGGCAGCTGATATCATTGTCATTATAAGGATAAACAGTTTATTGAAGTTAAATTTTGAAAAAAACAACTAAAACTTGGCATATTTTTGAAAGAAGACTGGCAACAAATCAGAATTTACATATTAATCCCTTGCAACACATTCAGAACATTTTTCTTTAAGAAGGGTCTATAACTGCAACAATTATATCTGGGAATAACTGTTCAGTTAGTTTCAAATTCATTATTTTAGAAAGAGGAATTAAAAATATTGCCTATTTCTTTCTTAATGTCATGAAACAAAAAAGTTTATGAAGTATAAACTAATCTATAAAGGAATAAAACATTTAGTAGCTTTGGAAAATACATTATTTGGATGAGTAATTTGTCTCAATTTGTGAACGTACTCCAAGTAATCCTATACTTTGAAACAGACAAAATTTAAATCTGGCAAGTTGTTTAAAAGCATTTCCTCAACTGCTCCTACTAAAGTCATGCTCTTCCTTCAATGTGCAGTACAGGTGCCTCCCCCTCCTCCACTACGTCTTCCCACTCCAACTTCTAGGACTTGGTTTCCTCATCTATAATATGAGGAAATTGGATTTCATGAATCCTTTCCAGTTCTACATCTATGACTATATGATCTTGACTTCCTATCTGGAAGAAAACTCCTCCCTTAATCCCATTTTCTGTTATCTCTCATTGTAGGCTCCTCTTCAATGTACTGATTGTATTCTAATTTGTGTTCACCTAACAAAAGGTTTGTGGCATACTGAGCTGGCCTTGGCATTATGCAGACCCAGGTTCAAGTTCCACTTCTGACACATAATGTAAAACCCTGGACAAGTCCCTTAACCTCTCAGTGATTCAATTAACTATTTAAGTTTCAGAACAATTGTGGCTCTTCAATAATATGGGAAACAACACACAGCAAGAAAATTATATTTCTGGTCTATCTACCTCTAAATCTATTTACATATGTATCTGTATTTATAAATAATCTACATCTATATCTAATCCACATGTACATTTCCACTGAAATGCAAATCCATATCATCTAGCTATACATTTATATCTAACTACATCTAAACACATCTATATCCAACAGCTATGCTATACTTATATCTAGCAATACACATACACCCACTCAGATATATATATATATATATATATATATACACATATATATATATGATATATATGTATAATGCACATATACAGTCCACAGATATGCATATACAGAGGCATTTTTTATCTGTAACGTACATATATGTGCATATATAGTGATTTTAACATGGTTTATATAACTATATATCTCATCTTTTTTTTAAACAATAGTATAGGATCATTGAAGACAAAGGTTTTATTGTTTTCCATATTTCTTTGTCCAGGATTGTGTAGAACTTCCTATATGTTATAGGTGTTTCTTGTGCTGAAAATTAAATAACAAAAAATAATGACACAGTATTGAAGATTGTTTATCAATTCAATGATTTTCAGATGTTAAATTTACACTTTGTTAACTAGAAATACTGATGATGTATTTTGCTAAAGAACATACCCAATTTTCAAACTCTGTCTATTAAACTGAAAATACACTTATAACTGAAACTTTTATAAATTGTATCTGTTTTTCCCTCAGGCTCTACATTCTCTCAAAACTCCATTAACTGAAAAATTCCTGAAAATGCAGAAGACAAAATGAATTTCATGAACAATCTACTTATCTATCTCAAGAGTGCTGGTAAAAGTCCAAACCAATATGTGAAACATGATTATATACCATCTTTCTCTAACAACACAGATGTACATTTAACTAGATAAAGAGTATTACAAATTTACTCAATAGAAGGTAAAAAAAAATAACTCTACAGTGTTGGAATGTTAAAATCATCCTATCTTGTGCACTGGCCCACAAATATGAGTGATTATATAAAATAAACAAACTTCAAGAAATAGTGTCTGCATTTACTCTTGATGAAGAAGCAGTTATCTCCTGTGTAATTTGAACCAAAGAAAAATGAAATTATACTCATAAAGTTGTAGTTATTAATGCTATTTCTTGAATAAATGGGAAATGCATGCTGAATTGTATGATCAGGTAAAATACTCATAAATATTGTTTCCTTTTTTTTACAAATTCAATAAAATATGTACCAATTAGACATTAGTTTTTAAATCTATAATATTTTCATAATATTTATGTTACAGAGTTACTTCTTCTGGATCAATGTACTGTTATTGCTCTTTAATTAGTACCAACTCTGAAAGAATGAACTAAGTGTGCAATGTCCAAAGCTGTTCCCAAGATGTAAGCCACTTTTAAAGCCTGACTAAAGCCGTAAAGCCACTGAGGTACAGGTGAAATTCATGTTATGTAACTAATTTAGTAACAATACACTATGCATAGATTTTAAATTAAAATAAAAATAAACTATTTACAATTTTAAAATTTGAGATTCAAATACATTAGAGAAGCTGACTAATTAGGGTACTCTAACGATAAGTTTTGCCCCAAAATGAATCCTCAGGTTTTTTTTTATAAGCCAAATTTCTATCAAGTGATCCACATTCATTTGTTAAGTAGCTAATATATTCCATGTATTGTGCTGGGTACGAGGGATACAAGGTCAGAAATGAAATAATCTCTATTCTAAAAGAGCCTCTATTTAAGTGGGTAAAGCAATATCTCTACACACATGCAAATAAATATAATTATATTCATAGTAAATACTAGGTAATTTGAAGGCAGGTAGGCAATAAGGTAATATTTAACTGTCATTTAAGGGGAAACTCAATTGAATCAACTTTCCATAGAGAACTGATCTTCCTCTTTTTAAAGGAAAAAACATTTTTTTTTCAACCATTTCCAAATAATAATCATTCTAACATGTATCCTTGCCTGGCCTTTAATGACAGGAGGAAACTAAATATGACTTAATTTTTTTTTTGATGATTCCAGTTTGCATTGTAGTGGCCACAATTTCTGGGGACCTTGGAATGGTTTAGGGCTCTTTGCTTCTTCGTGGATAGACTGTTCAGGGTTTTGTGCTTTTGGATTTCTGTCTGTCTCTTTGTTCTATTTGCTTGTCTGAGGTCACTTAGCTTAAAAATATATTATAAGGCGATGATTCTATCAGATTCTGTTAGAACAGGGGTGGGGAACCTGTGGCCCATAGGTCCTCAAGTGTGGCCCTTTGACAGTATCCTTTTAATAAGGGGATTTGTTCTGTAAAGTTTGAATTCAGTCAAAGGGCCACACTTGAGGATCTAGAGGCCCACATGTGGCCTCCTGGCCTCAACTTCCTCACCTCTGTGTTGGAATACGTCCATTCAAATTCCAGCTCTGCTGATTGATCAATGCTATCCTTGGGCAAATGACTCAACGTTTTAAGTCTTAGGAGTGTTTTGTTTTGTTTTGTCATGTAGAAGAGGGATTACATTTGTTCTCTTTGGCCCCAAAGGATAGAGCTAGAAACAAAACAATGAGGAGAAGATGCAAAGGACAAATGGATGCTTGTGCAGCCAGAGGAAAACAAAACAAAACAAAACAAACACCAAACAGCAGCTGCAACAATTTTGACAACTTTCTAAAAATTAGAGCAGTCAAAAAGTAGAATCGGCCAGTTGGCCACTTGCTGGGTATATTACAGTGAAGATTAATAGCTAATAATGAACATTTGTATAGCACTTTAAGATTTGCTGACTGCTTTACAACTTTTATATTCATATCTACACTGGGATATAGGCAAAATTATGATACCATTTTAGAGATGAAGAAACTGAGGCAAATAGAGGTTAAGTGACTTGCCTAGGGTTTTACAACTAGTAAGTATCTGAAGTAACGTTTGAATTCAGGTCTTCCCAACTCCAGCCCCAGTGTTCTATCCACTATACTACTTATTAATAAAAATAGCAACATCAGAACTTTAACCAGTGTTTTCTACTTCAAATCTAGTGCTATTCCTACTATACATTCCAGTCTACTTCTAACTGCCAATTCTTTTTTGTACTTCAAATACTTATGATTTCTAAATAGACCTTTTAGTTGAGGATCATACTTCATATCATATGTCACATTTCACCAAGAAATTTAAAGTCATTCAACCTGAATCTCTTTCTCACCCTTTTCATCATTTCACAAACCCTTGACATTATGCTCCATCCCAACCAAACAGAGACATAATCTGTCATCTCTCTTCTCCTTTACATCAGTCTCTGATGGTAAGATGGCTCTTTTGGCCTAAGGAGGTGCCACAACCTCTACCCTTTATGAACTCTTGACGCAAAGCCCTCCTAACATTTCTACTAACAGCTTCTAGCCTCACTCTAAATTTCAGGCTTTTTTTTCTTAATCTATTGACCCCTTCCCTCCTATCAGCCTACAAACAATGCCTCAATCTCTCCTACAAAAAGAACAAATAAATAAACGAAAGAACCCTTCACTAATTTCTACCATCCATGCCAGCTGTCTTCTTCTAGCCTGTCTTCCTTTTAGCTACCAAACACCTTGAAATGGTTGTGTACACTTGCTGCTTCTACTTTCTCCCTATCTCTTCCAAACACTCTGAATTTAGGTTTTTTACTTCCTCATTCAACTGGCAATGCGCTCTGCAAAAGTATGAGTGATTTGGAAATACTTTCTCCAAAGTTACTAATTATCTCTCCATTGACTAATTTAAAAGTCTCTTCTCAAACCTCCTTTTTATTTTTTGACATTCGGTGGCATTTTACACTGTTAACTCAATTGTGCTGAAGGGTGACAAAGTTCTATCCTGGGTCTCTAACCTTTCTTTGTTTCTTTTTGCTGCATTATCTTACTAACTCTTGGTATCCCTAAGACTACATCCTGGGCTTTATTCTCTTTTCTCTACATTTTCTCACTCAGTGGCATCATTAGTTCCTACGAACTAATGAACATTCCTAGGCAGATGATTACAAGATCTTTATATCCAGCACTATTTCCACCCCCGCCCCCCAAATTCCAGGCCATCATTACCAATGTCCGAAATGCTGGAGTGGAAGTGATTCAGTTCATCAAGTCATGAAATATACTTTCTTCTTCTAATATCCACTGTATACCAGTACCCTAAGTGATTACTTGAACTGATTTAGTTGGATCTCTCAACATATAGAATCCTTATTTTACACCCCTCCCCTTTCAAGACTTATAAATGATTGATAACCCATTGTCTCAGGTACCTTAAAAAGTGGAATGATTTTGGCAGATGAATCAGTAGCTGTATTGCTTTCCCCACTCACACTCACTACCCTCATCTTTTCATCTTTTCAATGTATATGTAAGACAACACATGCGTGCGCACACACACACACACACACACACACACACAACAACAACAACAACCAAGAGAAACAAAAACAAAATAGATGGGAGAAAATCTGCCAGTGGTTTTCCCTATCTCTTAAGTATACTGCCATCATAGTCAGGGTATAACATGCTACCGAAAGGGCTATCATTTCCCCTTTCTCTGGATCTCCAGTTTAGCCAATGATTCCCAACTATTAGAAAAAAATTCCTGGTTCCCTAGTCATCTTACTTATATCACTTTAAATTACAGTTCCCAGCACCTTTTATATTTATGGACTACCCAAGTTATGGATCTCCTTCAGGCAAAACGTTGCTTTTTTTAATGGCTTATCATCCTGAATTTGATGAGCAGACTGAGCATATGTATAATATGTATGTTCCTGGAAGTAAAAGACTATTTTTTGTCTCTACAACTCCAGAATTTAGCACAATGTCTTGCTTCCTTATTTTTTTTAATGAATTAATCTACCTCCAGGATGATTGAGTTTTCATGCTACCTCTTGGAAAATTAGTTGTATAAAAACTCAACATATTTGTCCATGTAGAAAACATATCTCTGTATAAATCATGATTTCCACTCATGGTTCTTAGTTTGCTTTCTCAGTGTGCATTGGAAATACCCAAGTCAGTGACTCCACCATAGAAGAGTTGGGATTCAAACCTTGACCCACTAAATCCAAATACAACGTTCTTTGTAGTTTACAAATACCATGATAACTACGTTCAGATTATGTCTAATCTCCTCCCAACTCTACTAAGCTCCCCTGGTATAAGAGATTAATTTTTCTTCTTCCTGAGCTTGCATGTTTGTCAGACTTGTTCTTTCCAGGACATGACATGAAGCACCAAACATTTTTTCATCCACCCCATGCACATGAAATCTTCATGTTGCTTATTGCTATATTAAGTTTATGGAATCCTTCACATAACAAACAACCCAATGTCCATCTCAAAAAGAAAACTTTTCATGCTTCATCCCATTCATGTTCCATCCAGCTTGCATGGTCCATGATTTCTAAAACTGTCTTAGTGAACTTTTCTGATGTCATTCATGGATTTCTGTTTATTACATGATTATTTATATTTATTTTCTGAAATACTGAATGTTTCAATATTGTTAAAATGATGCATATTTAATATGAAAATTTTGAGGAGTACAATATTGTGATGCACAATATTGTCCAACTGTCCAATGAATTGAAAAATTCTGAAATTCTGAATTCTCAAAAAAAAGAAATACTGGCAAATTTAAGTAAAAGGAGACTGTGATCTTCACTAAGCTAATACTATTCTTTTCTTTGTACTGTATATGCCTTTAAATGCATTTACATTGCTTTCCTCCTTTTAGATAAGCATAATTTAAAGTTCTACTTCATGTGAAGTTTCTTTGGCCATTTTTATAAGCAGTGTTTGTTGCTTTAGCTGTGCTCCAATATTACCTGTACTATTCATTATTTCTATGCCAGCTACTGCAAGTTCAGGGTAGGTAAATAAACTTTAAAGCTAGACATGATGAGCAGCTGGGAATGCAGTAGGCAATGCATATCAAGAGCCTAACTTAGTAATAACCAACAACAAATAATGGTGCATTTTTATTTCAGTGCATTCCAAAATGAAAACCCGGGGAAAAAATAAATACGCATGAATACATTTTAGATACTGAGGCTTGTCCTCCACTAAAGTCCTAGCTTTTCACCTCATTCTGGCACAGAGGTGACCTAGAATTCTTCAAAGCTTCATTCAACAAAAAAAGATAGAAAAAAGGATGACTTTAGTA